GGAGTTGTGTTTTCTGGAGTGGTTGCAATGGTTTCCTCACCACAACTGCTGGACGTAGTGTGGTATAGTGCAGTTGTAGTTGTAGGTGTAGTTGTAGTTCTAGTGTAGTGGAGTTGTAGTTGTACGTTGTAGTTGTAATGTAGTGTAATTAGTGTAGTTGCAGTTGCAGTTGTAGTTGTGGTGTCGTGTAATTAGTGTAGTGTATTGTAGTGTACTGTAGGGTTGTGTACTGTAGCGTGGTATAGTGTAGTGTAGTCTAGTGTATTGTAGTGTAAAGTGGTGTAGTTGTAGTTGTTGCGTGGTGTCGTGTAATGCAATGTCGTGGTAGTTGCAGTTGTAGTGTAATGTAATGTAATGCAATGCAATGTAATGTAATGTAATGTAATGCAATGCAATGTAATGTAATGTAATGTATGTAATGTAATGTATGTGATGTAATGTCATGTAATGTAATGTAATGTATTGTATTGTAAAGTAATGTAATGTAATGTATTGTAATGTAATGTAATGTAGTGTAATGTAATGTAATGTATTGTAATGTAATGTAATGTAATGTAATTAGTGTGTATATAGTGTAGTGTTGTGTAATGTAGTGTAGTTGTGGTTGTATTTGCATTTGTAGCTGTAATGTACTGCAGTTTAATTAGTGTATTGTAGCGTAATGTAGTGTAGCTGTAATTGTAGTTGTAGCTGTGGTGGTGGTGGTGGTGCTGGTGCTGGTGCTGGCGCTGGCGCTGGCGCTGGCGCTGCTGCTGCTGCTGCTGGTGGTGGTGGTGGTGGTGGTGGTGGTCGTCGTCGTCGTCGTCGTCGTCGTTGTTGTTGTTGCTGTTGTAGTAGTTGCTATTGAGTAGTTGTAGTGTAGTGTGATTAGATGGAATTAGATGCAGTGAGTGTAGTGTAGTGTAAGTAGTGTTGTGTAATGTGCCGTGGTATCTTTGTACTTGTAGTTGTAGTATAGTGTAGTGGCACTTGTAGCTGTAGTTGCACTTGTAGCTGTCCATCTATCTATCTGCAAGCTTGAAAACGCAGCTATTTTGCGAGACTTTCTCAATTTTTGAACTTGACAACGTCAAAAACGAAACAATTCAATTCTGCGAGACTTCCTTCAGAGCTGACGGCCTCGTACCAATGCGTTTTCCGATTTTTCCACTCCACCTGTCTAAAGTACTGTGCCTGCCACGAAAAGCTGAGGCCAGGTCATACGAAGTGCTGCACCTGTCACGCAAAATCATCTCAGCAAACCTGAAGATCTGATGCTCCAAAATGGAACCCCTCTCAGGAAATCAGCGCCCTCACCTCCAAACAGCTCCGATGAAGATGTCTCTTGTACTGCGCCTGCCACGGAAAATGCATCTTTGCAGATCCTATTCAAATGTTCCACGCCCGCCATCGTTTTTGGATATGCTAGAAAACCTTCACGTTTTGCTCCCTTTTGACAAGGTGCACAATCCCTTGCGCCTGCCAAGCGGAACCACATCTGAACGTCCAAAAGTGCTCCGTACCCCACATTTTTTTGCACTTTTGACTTCGATATGTGCTTCGCGCCACAACAGCGTGCACTTTTTCGACATCTCAACTTCCAAATGCGCTTTGATACTGAGGTGTTTTGTGCATTTTGACTTCCAAATGTGCTTCGCGCCACAATGGCGTGCACTTTTCCGACAGCGCAACTTCTAAAAGTGCTTCGGGGCTGAGGTGTATTGTACATTTTGACTTGGAAATGCGCTTCGCGCCACAACGGCGTGCACTTTTTCATCTCTCATCTGGCCAGATTGCTCCGCACCCGCCGCTTTAGTGAGCCTACTTTTCGACCCTCCAGAGCCACAAATCTGCGGAAAAACGCAGTCAGTGTTTTGCGACTTTCCTACCTCTTTGCGCACCTGGATCTTCTTTCTTCTGAGACTTTCTCTTTTGCCTCCTTTTTGCGCACTTGGATCTTCTTTCTTCTGAGACTTTCTCTTTCTTGTTCTCTTCTCTTCTCTTACTCTTCCCATCTCTGCTTTTCATCTGTCCATATTGTCGGAAGTTTGACTTGTAAACTTCTAAACTTCCTTCGGTATTCCCTCTTCAAATGTCCATATCCATATTTCTCCACATATATAAAATATAATTTATTTATATATATATTATTTGTGATTTATGCATAATGCTCAATTCATGTTAATAAGCAGCTCGCATTAATCAACACCCACAGTCCAAAACATGTTTGGCAATGCTGCTTTGGGTTGGTCCCTCCCTATTAATCAACATGGGTGGTCACCCCCTGTTTTAAACAATATCTTCTGGAAAATCCTGAAAAAATGGTGGTGAGAAGGTTATTTGGTTCTGATGTTTCTGACCTGATGGTCCAAAGCCAATGGAGGAGATGCTTTACATTTATGCTAATATGTGTATATATATCTATGTATACAGATATATTGAAGAGATTCAAGGCACAGAATCCCCAAAATCAAGGAAAACACAAAAATATGATTGGTAAAACATGTATTTTCCTTATAACTGCCTTGCAAAGCTCTTACAGGGTACCCCTTTAGGTGGGCTGTCCCCTCCAAATAATGTGCATATGAACCCCCGATTAAAGAATACCGTCAGCCACCCTGGCCATAGTTTGATTTCAATTGAACTCCTCACTTATCATTTTGATTCAAAAGCAAAATTTTCATAAATGAAAGAAAATCATGTCAATTGAAATTATTACTTACCAGTAGTACGCACAAGGCGGTGGCGGAAGTTTCAAACTAGGAAACCTATAGGAGAGCTTGGCTGCTGTGAATCACAGATGGCAGAGCGAATCCATTGATGGACTGCAAGGTGGTTGGAGTTGTGTTTTTTGGAGTGGTTACAATGGTTGCAGTGGTCACCTGGTCGGTCACCTCACCCACAACTGCTGGATGTAGTGTGGTGTAATGCAGTTGTAGTAGTAGTTGTGGTGTAGTGGAGTTGTAGCTGTGCTGTAGTGTAATTATTGTAGTGCAGATGCAATTGCATTTGTGTTGGTGGAATGAGTGTAGTGAATGTAGGGCAGTGTAGTTGCGTGTAGTCTGGTGTAGTGTAAAGTAGCGTAGTTGTACCTGTAGCTGTAGTGAGAGTAGTGTAGTGTGGTGTGGTGTGGTGTGGTGTAGCGTAGAGTAGCGTAGCGTAGTGTAATGTAATTAGTGTAGTGTGGTGTGCTGTAGTGTGGTGTTGTGTAGCGTGGTGTAGTGTAGTGCGGTGTAGTGTAGTGTAATGTAAGAAGTGTGATGTAGCGTAGCGTAATGTAGTGTAGTGTAGTGTTATTTACTGTAGTTGTAGTTGTAGTTGTTGTTGTTGTTGGTGGTGGTGGTGTTGGTGTTGGTGTTGGTGTTGGTGTTGTTGGTGTTGTTGTTGTTGTTGTCGTTGTTGTTTGTGTAATGTAGTGTAATGTAGTGTAATGTAGTGTAGTGTAATGTAGTGTAATGTAGTGTAATGTAGTGTAATGTAGTGTAATGTAGTGTAATGTAGTGTAATGTAGTGTAATGTAGTGTAATGTAGCGTAATGTAGCGTAGGGTAATGTAATGTAGTGTAGTTGTTCTTGCGGTTGCAGTTGTAGTTGTAGTTGTAGGTGTAGGTGTGCTGTAGCGTCATTCAGTGTAGTGTAGTGAAGTGGACTGTAGTGTCGTGTAGTGTAATCAGTGTAGTGCTGGGTAGTGTAATGTAGTAGTAGTTGTAGTAGTTGTTGTTGTAGCTGTAGTCAGTGTAGTGTAGTTTGGTGCGGTGTAATTGAGCGTAGTGTAGTGTACCAGTAGTGTGGAGTGTAGTGTAACGTAGTGTAATGTAATTAGTGTAGTTGCAGTTATAGTTGTAGTTGTAGTTGTAGTGTTAGCGTAGTTTAATGTAGTGGAGTGTAGTGTCGTGGTGGTTGTAGTTGAAACTGTTAGAAAACCCTCACGTTTTTACGCGCTTTTGGCAAGGTGCAGAATCCCTTGTGCTTGCCACGTAAAACGACATCCGAACATCCAAAAGTGGTCCGTACCCCTCAGTTTTTTGCGCTTTTGACTTCGAAATGTGCTTCGCGCCACAACAGCGTGCACTTTTCGTCAGTTTCTAACACTCTTGACTTCGAAATGTGCTTCGCGCCGCAACGCCGTGCACTTTTTCATTCCCTCAACTTCTAAAAGCTGAGGGTGTTTGTACATTTTGACTTTGAGATGTGCTTCGCGCCACAACGGCGTGCAATTTTTCATCTCATCTGACCAGATGTCTCCACACCTGCCGCTTTAGTGAGCCTACTTTTCAACCCTCCAGAGCCACAAATCACAGTGGATCGCGACTTTCCTACCTCTTCGCACACCTGGATCTTCTCTCTTCTGACTCTTTCTCTTCTCTGATCTTCTCTCTTCTTGTCTTCTCTTCTCTGACTCTTCCCACCTCTGCTTTTCCATCTGTCCATATATTGTCGGAAGTTTGATGTCTAAACTTCCTTCGATCAGTCAGATTCAAAAGGAAAATCAATTGAAAGTATATAAATTGATTTCAATTGAAACCCTTTCTCATCCTTAGATTTAAAAGGAGCATCACTTGAAAGTAAAGTGATGGTAATTTAAATCCTTTCGTATCCTTTAGTTTTGAAAAAATACATCTTATGAATTCCATGTTTTGGCTTTGCTGAGTGCTGCTCACTATTTGGGTGAAAACCTTCTCATGGATCTAGACCTTCTGGGGGGAGGGTTATTTTTACGAACTTGGCATTATTACATATATATATAATATTTACATATACATATCCATATACATATACATTTACATATACAGCAAATATATTTATACAGCACATATATATATATAATATTCATATATTGTATGTGTATATATATATTGTTTATCTTATTTATATTTACTGTGAATGTATCTGTATATTATATATATATATATATTTATTATATAATATATATATATATACAGTATATGTATGTACTCAGTCTTGTTGGTCAAGTCTACCGGGGGTATCACCCACTGAGAAGCACATCAGTGGTTTGCCCAGGTCAGTGATCGAATCCATGGGCGATATTGTGACCACTGCCTCTGCGCCGCTGGAGTTATGACGAGGGCGGCGTTTCCTTTCCGGAGAAAACCTGTCGTATTATTCCATTATCCAACCAGCCAAGTTGTGGCCTAATTGAACCATAGGATAGTAAGATTTAGGATCATCCACATTAGTACTAGTCCATATCATCCTATGTTTAATCCATATTAATCCATTTTAATCCACGTATTAATTACAAGCCAAATTAGGATACATATGTATATATATATATATGGATTAATAAAGAACCACGCGGAGTGATGAATATCCAACTTGACCGAACTACTTGGTGGCTCACTGGTTCAACCCAGGTAACGCAAGTGGGTTGAACGTTCACCGCGCTTATAAGTGGACTAATTCTACTTGCCTATAAGTGATGTAAACTAACCCACTCATGGGGTTGAACGACCAAGTGGGTCGACCCTGGTTTTCAGACATCCGTGTTTTTGATGATGATGATGATGATGACGATGATGATGATGATGATGTTGGGGTTTTGCATGATTGTTTGTGTCATGGGGCCATATGGTTTTTACATCTTTTGACCCTGTGGGCTTGACCAGTTTCACGATCGCTCCAGTCCACATGCCATGACAGCCATGGAGTCATGCCATAGTTTGTACATTGCATATGTTGCATCAAGGTCAACTTTGGCCATGCGCCACAGATATCCAAAGAATTCCGAAGAGCAGATTTTAGTTTATGAATTTACGGATCGATGTTTGTGAGAAGCGCAACGTGCCAGACAAAACAGTGGTTGAACAGCAAAGATGAAAAAACATAATTTTACAACAAATTTCAAAGCGTTTTTTTTAATCCCACCCTGCGCAGGGTGCACTTGAAGTTACAAGGGTGAATCCTCAAAAAGGGCCGTAATCACTGGCTGAAGCAAGCATCCTGAAATCACACAAGCTAAGATGTTGAAATCTACGAGACAACAGCTCTTTGTAGTGTTATAGCAACTTTAGTATGCACTTATCCCAGCCTTTTTTGCTTATGTTTGTGTTATCTTCCGGTTTGTGCTGAAGTCAGGCACAACCAAATCGTTGCTACAGCCATCTTTGCCATACTTTGACTCATCCCACGTCGCTGCTGCTGCAAGGAATGTGGAGTCCAGCTTCTTTCGCGTGGTTCGTTTCGTCCGTGCCATGGTGAAGATGGTTCACAAAGCGACCGCACCCTCTTTTGGTATCTTTTGTTGAGAAAAATGGGCACATTTGGTAAAACTACTTGTTGACCCCACTTGAAGAATGCTGTTGTTTTGGGGTCTCACGTAGTCTCGGTACACGGAACGGTCCTGGTTTTTGTCTTGCACCATGATGATTACCAGGCCATGCACTTGTGTTCGATGGGTGCGGGTGTGGTGGGGGAAACATGCAAGAGGTTGGGGTTGGTGGTGGGGAGGCTAATAACGTTCTTTTGTCTGCGTTTTCAACAGGCTCTTGAAGCACTCTCTTGACTTTCTCAAGTAAGTTGCCAAGACTCTCTTGATGCTAAGCTCTTGATGTTTCCAAGTAAGTCGCGAAGACCCTCTTGATGCTACGCTCTTGACTTTCTGAAGTAAGTTTCACGCACTTGTGGGACTATGTGTACCAGCTCGGGTATAGACACAACAAGAAAGGCTAGAGAGACTTGCCTGTGGATGAAGAAAAACGTGCTTCGTCCTTTTGCATGTCCTGGCGTTGCAACATGAAACACGAAACATGGTAAATGACAGGTGAAGCACGCAATGTTCAATTTTGAACGATTTCACCCGAGTACTGATCAGGTGTGTTGCCTTGTTTTGCCATTGTTTTCAGGCATTGTTGCTCTTGCCAAACATGCCATTGAATACGATCCATGCTCACTTTCCTATACCAGTAGTACTGCACAAGTGGGTGGCGGAAGTTTCAAAGATAGGAAGCCTATAGGAAAGGTTGGCTGTTGTGAATCACGGATGGCAGAGCGAATCCACAGATGGACCGAAAGGTGGTTGGAGCTGTATTTTTTGGAGTGGCTGCAATGGTTGCAGTGGTCACCTCACCCACAGCTCCTGGATGTAGTGTGGTGTAGTGCAGTTGTAGTTGTAGCGTAGTGTAGTGGAGTTGTAGATTGTAGCTGTAGTGCAATGTATTTAGTGTAGTGTAGTGGAGTTGCAGTTGTAGTTGTGGTGTGTGGTGTAAGTAGCGTAGTGCAGTGTAATGTAGTGTAGTGTAGTGTGCTGCACTTGTAGTTGTAGTTGTAGTTGTAGTTGTGGTGTAGTGTAAACTAGTGTAGTGTAAAGAAATGTAGCTGTAGTTGTAGTGTAGTGTAATGTAACTAGTGTAGTGCAGTGTAGTGCAATGTAGTGGTGGTTGTTGTTGTTGCTGTTGTTGTCGTTGTTGTTGTTGTTGTCGTTGTTGTTGCTGTCGTAGCTGTAGTGTAATTAGTGTAATGTAGCGTATTGAAATTAGATGTAATTAGTGTAACGTAGTGTAGTTAGTGTAATTAGTGTAATTAGTGTTGTAATGTAGCGTAGTATATTTGCATTTGTAGTTGTAGTAGTAGTGTAGTGTAGTGGTAGTTGTACTTGTACTTGTTGTCTATTTATCTATCTATCTATCTGTCTGTCTGTCTGTCTGTCTATCTGTCTATCTGTCTATCTGCAAGCTTGAAAACGAAGCTATTGTGCGACACTTCCTCCATTTTTGAACTTGACAACATCAGAAGCGCAGCAAGTCTGCGAGACTTCCTCAATTTTCGAAGTTGGCAACATCGAAAACGAAGCAATTCTGCGAGACTTCCTCAATATTCCAAGTTGACAACATCCAAAACGATGCAATTCTGCAAGAATTCTTTCAAAAAATAGAAAGTTGAGTGCAGAGCTGATGGCCTTGTACCAATGCGCTTTGCGGTTTTTCCACTCCATTTGTCTAAAGTATTGCGCCTGCCACGAAAAAGTGAGGCCAGGTCATACAAAGTGCTGCACCCGTCACGCAAAATCATCTCAGCAAACCTGAAGATCTGATGCTCCAAAATGCAATCCCTCTCGGGAAATCAGCGACCTGACCTCCGAACAGCTCCGATGAAGATGTCTCTTGTACTGCGCCTGCCACGGAAAATGCATCTTTGCAGATCCTATTCAAATGTTCCACGCCCGCCATCGTTTTTGGATATGCTAGAAAACCTTCACGTTTTGCTCACTTTTGGCAAGGTGCAGAATCCCTTGCGCCTGCCACGCAAAACCAACATCTGAACCTTCAAAAGTGGTCCGACACTGAGGTGCTTTTAACATGTTGACTTGGAAATGCGCTTCGCGCCACAACGGAGCACACTTTTTGAACATCTCAACTTCCAAAAGGGTTCCAAGGCTGATGTGCTTTGTACATTTTGACTTGGAAATGTGCTTCGCGCCACAACGGCGTGCAATTTTTTCATCTGGGATCTGGCCAGATGGCTCCGCACCCGCCGCTTCAGCGAGCCTGCTTTTGGATCCCTCGGGAGCCACAAATCATTGGAAAAATACAGTGTTTCGCGACTTTCTTACCTTTTCGCGCACCCGCATCTTCTTTCTTCTGACTCTTTCTCTTCTCTGATTTTCTCTCTTCTTGTTCTAAACTTCCTTCAATATCTGGTTTAGATGTATCCCGTTCTTGCACTGGGTCATTGATGACCAACATTTTGCGGAAATGCCTCCAAACTAGCATTTGAAATCCCGCTCCACAAAGGAATTTGAAGAATCATGTGGTGTATGTGTAGGTGAAGGTGCTTTGATGTTTCAGACAAGGCAGCTGAGGCTGGTTTGCTCCACGGCCGGTCTACCCCAGAGGGATGGTTTTGCGGCTGAGGCTTAGCCCGAGCTTTGCGGGGTATCAGAGTCATTCGCTTGATTCACTATGTGGGTGCTTTGAGAACTCTCGTGCTGCTTGGTTCAGCGTTTGATTCAATCGTTTGAGTATTTATTGAAAACCCTTGATACAGTTTGATGATTTAAATCCAGCTAGAAAGAATTTAAAACATGAAAATTTCGGGGATTATCCAGCTTGCTACGTGAGTACCAGAGGGTAGTCATGGTAATGGTTCAAAATCCTGGGTGTAAGGTGATTGTCCACCATATGTAGGGAATAGATGAGAAGAGTGTGTAATTATATGTTTCAAGGCCCAGCCTTGGGCAAATCTGAGAAATGATTAAATTTTCAAGACTTTCAAGGACATGCCATTGGTTTAAGACCGTCGATATATGTTGTGGGCCCCTTGCTACTCCATCTTTGACCCATTCCTAGGGGATCCAGATTTCAACACTCCGGCAGATACAAAACGCTACTAAACCAAGAAAAAATGAATATTCACCAAGAACCATGCCATTGCCACATCAGTGATGATAAAAACTTGTTTGGAGGCGGAAAGATTCGACAACGGATATGCAAGTCGTTTTTTCGCAGTGCTCCCATAGTTGCAATACTGATGCTAGCCGATTCTCATGGCTAGGATTGCGCTGATTCATGTGAATTTCCAGAAGGTTATCAGACCATGCTGGGTCTTGGCCCAACTTTTGTCCAACTATTTTTCCATGGTCTACGAGTTTAAGTAGATTTAATTCAATCGTTTCATGTTTCTGCGATCAATTTTCTACTGAGTTACCCCTTGTTGTCAAGACATGTTTCATTGAAACCACCACAGGTTTGTTTCTTTGCACCACTACCGCTGCAACAAGAGACATACAACACAACGTTCCCTATGTTCTTCGCTGTTTCGCGTCGTGGAATCGAGGTTTGCCATTGCCAGCACAGCAGGGTCGCTGGTTTGGACATTGTTGCTGCTAATATTGGTTCCTTGGATTTTTCTTATGACCAGGGATCAAACCTGGGATCGCCATAGTCACCATCCAAAATTGTGATAGCCCGGGGGCCAAACATGAATTTACTGGTATCTGAATCGGGGCACACGCAGTTTCAGAAGATGGTGACTATGGCATCCAATTGATTCCACATTACCGCAGAAATCGGAAGCCAAATCAAAGAGTCAGCCGCATCGGAAGCAGCATCAGCATTATCAGCGACGCCAGGTGAAGCAGTTCACAATTTCATTGCCCTTTGAACCAGTTGGTTCATGATTATGTCTTTTACTTTTACTATTTTGTACTACTTCCTTACGCAGATTGGAGATGACCAGAATCCATAAGCTGTGAATCCCAAGGAAATCCAAGCGTTTATGCAGATCTCCCAATAGGTTTCCAGACGCTGGTCATACACAACCGGTTCTGTCCCCTGGATCTTGAAGATGGCCCTATGATTTGTCCCTTATATAATCTCCCATATCAAGCTGTGTTTTTTAACCACACATAAATAAAGTACAGCACGCCAACTTCCAGAACTGACTAATAAACACATTCCAAGTAATCTATGTCTTTTTGGGAGCAGTTTGTTTACCAAATATTAATCTATGACCTATGATTGTTGATTTCTGCTATTCCTTCATTCTGTGGTTTCAGAGATTGTCTTTAATTATTTATTTTCTCAAACATGTCAAAAAAAAATGCAGGTCCTGGAGTTGCATTTTGTTTCAAGAATGCCTCCAGAACAAGCCCGCAAAGGGGGTCGTCCAGAAACATGCCAACACCATCCGACACCTGAATTAAAGATATTGTTAGAAACCCCCAAATAAAATTCCCCGATTTGGATTTGCATGTCGTGTTGAAAATCTTAAGATACATATCTTAAATCTTCTCATATTTGAACTTCAAAAAGCTTTATATAAATAAAACATGTTTCAGTTACCTAGAGAGCTTTATCTGACTACATGTCGAGGGTCCTAGTTATGATATTTTGTTTTACTATATACTTGGATGCAATTCAAAGGGTGGTCATGAAACACACATCAACATTATATTGCTGGTTAGACATCTCATTGTTAAACGCCATTTTACTAAAATTGTATCTGTATCCGAACGACGATTTCAGAAATTATCTTCCCACGATATCCCATCATACCAGCTATATTACAATGTCGTTTCACTGTTCCACTCAGATTTTCTACATCTTTGGGGTCATCTTCGCCCAGATTGTTGTGGAGCTCCGGGGGGCGAAAATACAAAAATGTGCCATTGATGTCTGCTGCATTAGAAGCCGGAGTCCTGCATATATATATATATATATATTATGTATATTATGTATATATATATATTGATTTATTTATTTACTTATTTATTTATACATATGCAGTGAGAACCTGGGTTTTGCATGAGTGTGGCGCTAGATACTTTTGCATAGCCATTAACATTAAAGTTAAACATGGTCTTTTCCCGATGCTTTCCCTTCCCCTGTGCTTGTCGTAAATAATTTGAACTGCATTCTTGCTTCACCTTCGTCTTGGCCAGCATCACAATTTGACTTTTGAAGATATGTGAGAACAATTGCCTTTCGAGTTTTCACAGCTAGGCTAAACATAGTTCTGGCGGTAGGTCTGCGATAGATCCGCTCTAGACAAATCCCGCAAGAAGGCGCAGTTGCCATTTTGTCAGCTCTCTGTACTTGAAAGCCCAAGAGCAGTTTGCTTCACATGTAGTAGCGTGGCAGAAAGCCGGTAGCAGCAACTCCGATATGGGCCATGGGGTCTGCCTTGTTTGACCAAAGAAACGAACCATGCAGGGTATGATTCACGTGATTCCAGTAGCAGCAGCAGCAGCAGCAGCAGCAGTTCCAGCTAATAGAGTCGTGCGGTGGCTTTGTCTGCAAAATTTGACGCAAATTGATCATTTACAAATATTTACCATTTGTTTCTTTCATGTTTGATGTCTGTTGGAAAAATTGAACTGTCATTTGCGTCCGAATGCGGGAGAAGGAATTCAGACAAAACCTCCGAGAAACCGGATATGTTCATATGATCTTAGATTTTATCAGAGTTGCGTCCTTCCTCGTTCCTTCCTCGTCGTTCCTTCCTGCTTCCTCAACTGCGAGCTCCAGATCTCAGTGGGCATTGCCAGACCTCAACCATTCAACCGCGAGCTCCAAAATCTCAATGGACACTCCGGAACCGCGAGCTCCAGATCTCAGTGGGCACTGCCAGACCTCAACCGCGAGTTCCGGATCTCAGTGGGCACTGCCGGACCTCAACCGCAAACTCCAGATCTCAGTGGGCACTGCCGGACTTCAACCGCGAGTTCTCAACGGGCACTGCCGCACGTCAATTGCGAGTGCGCACTGCCACACCAGCCGCGAGCTCCAGATCTCAGTGGGCACAGCCAGACCACTGAGATCTGGCGCTCGCGGTTGAGGTCCGGCAGTGCCCATGTCAGAGGAACGTCAGAATACATGCCAGATAGAATGCCAGAATAGAATGTCAGATAGAATGCCAGATAGATTGCGAGAATAGATGCCAGAAAGAATTTCAGAATAGATGACAGACAGATTATCAGAAAGAATGCCAGATAGAAGGCCCAGACAAAATGTCAGAATAGATGCCAGATAGAATGCCGGAAAGGAATGGCAGAATAGAATGTCAGATAGACTGCCACGATGCAATGTCAGAAAATACTTTCAGATGAGATGTCAGAAACTATGACAAAATAATGTCACGGTGAGGATTACTCGAAGTAAAGTAGTTGTTGTTATTTTGACTGCTTGTTGTAGCGCGTTTTTATCTAGGGATTCCTGGTTGACCCTCACCTGGCCACGTTTTCACCAGGACAACTGCGTTCTCCACGGGCAAACGTGTGACAACGAGAACCTCGCATTGCCCCTTAACTAAGACAAACGTTGCTTCGCTGGTGCTGTGTCAGCTTGAAAAGGCGACCACTTCACTGAATAAAGCCAATCATGTATAATTTACTCATGTTCCTGTTACCATCGTATGGGATATTCCCCATTTTCATCCCCACCGAATATGATCAAAATGGGTCTCTGATTTCCGCATTTACAGGTATTGGAATGGAGTGGGAACCAGTATGGTCACCCTCTTCATGGTGGTTTCTGGCGGAGTCACCTGGTTGCATCTGAACGTAAATGGTGACCTGGTTGCGACGCGTCATAACGTTAAGTGAAAACATAAAGTAGTAGTTTCTATAGATTTAATAGACATTTAAGTACGGATTTTATTTGAAGACTTCGGTACCCCTTCCACAATACCATTGTGGACGAACATGGATTGTTTAGGATTGTTGGTATTTATAATATGTGATATGTGTGTTGTGTACGTATCACTATCTTGTGGTGCATTGGCTGTGGCATATTTCAACCAGCCCACCTGACATCCTTTGTATCCTGCGATCCAGGAGGACTATCAAGAGGAGTACCCTACATGACACAAAGGTAGCTCGCATTGTGAGGCGTACCCTGTGAATTTAACAATGGAAACAGTATGAAACAGTCCATGCATGTGATTTCCCAGAAGGGACTTGAGGTCTTATTTTGCGTACATAGGCACAAACAAAGATCGCGTGAACACCATCAAGTCAATAAACCGTCAAGGCTGTCAACAAGTGCCGTATTGTTTCATCTTGTTCAGCAGTTGTTTTCGTTTTGAACACTTTCCCACACGTTGTCGTTCAATTCCACTTCCAATACTCAAGTGTGTTGCGCCTTGGTTTGTACCGAAGGTCAATTGGGAAGACATTTATCGTCCTCTGAGAGAGATTTCAAGTATCGCTGTTGCAGGTGCCTTGGCTGAAAGGTTTTTCTTGCACTCTGAGGCTTTATGTGGTGGAAACCGCGAGCTGCTTGTAAGCCAATTCCCACTCTAACATGTTTGGTTGTTGCACACGTGATTTCCCTGTAGAGGACATGTTTTTTCAGGCTCTTGGGACATTTTTGGAAAATTGCCTGATGCTGCCAAGGCCTAGTGATCTACATCATCATCAGTGTCTGGAACGTTGGTTTCAGAAGGTTTTTGGCTATAGGATGCTTTATTTTGATATCAACTAAAGGTTAAATATCATGAAATATATTGAAATATGACTTGTGTTCTTCTGCATTTTCCAAAAAGCAAGACTGGCAAGGAACATTTCCTAAGACCTTTTTCTTTTGGAAGTTGACCTCTGTTTCCAAGGCGTGTTTGCTATTTTGAACGTGGCTGCTGCCTCAGTATCGCTCCACAATATTGACGGGGTGTTGTGTGGTTAGAATGTTGCAGCTTCGTTCCCTTTCATGTACTGCTTACTGGTGTAGGTGATAGCATGTCAAATCCAGTTCTCCTCTCTTACTCTACTTTTTTTAAAGAGCCCGTGTTTGTTTGCATCATAAAATGACCTAAGTCGGATCCAGGCTTGGTTTGTTTGTTGAAGTTGAAGTGGTTCTATCATCAAACAACCATATATACACATATACATAGCAGGTGCTGGACACCTAAAGATAACAATGTGCATCATCATCACCATCATCATCATCATCACGTCACGTCCACCGTGATCGTCATAATGATTTGTGAAATGCCTTCAGCCTACGTCTTAAGCATGAAACAATGTAAGAGCAAACAAGCCATGCAAACAAACAAACAATCCACTTAACAAAGTAAAGCAGCGACAAGCAACTACTTTACTTTATGCGATCCCCGCACTGACAGATTTCTTCTGACATAGTTTTGGACATACCATCTGGCATATGTTTCGTGTATGTATATATATATATATGTGTATGTATAGCAACTATTACAATATGCTTATATTTATCTACGGTTGAAATTCCGATGTGGCTGGCTGGTGCTGTTCGTTTGGTGTGATTTTCCCCCTGGTTTTCCTGGGGTTGGTTGAGTTTTCTTCGGCTTTCTTGGGCCGTTTGTTTCCTTGATGTGGCTGCATGGTTTGCTGCTGCTGTTGCTGCTGCTGCGGCTGCGGCTGACCTTCGTGTGCTGTCTACTTGGGGGCAGTTCACATATGTCACAGTTCGCGCAAACGACTGTGCCTTTTGTTGTGGCTCGACTGCAGGTAACATGGCTTGGCTTGTTGTTTGGCGTGTTGTTTTGCTTTCTTTGCATCTCGGCGGCTACTCGTCACCTGGGGTGCGATGGTTTCATTCGTGCCTTTGGTGGCTCGGCTGCCTGGAGCGTGGTTTCGTCCGTGCTTCGGGTGGCTGGCTCCGGGTGGTGGTTGGTTCCGTTTGGTTTTCCCCCTTCTTGGTTTGGGGTGGTTGTGGTTTCCGCGGCTCCTTCTGGGCTGCGGCCTCCTTGCTGCGGTCTGCTGCGGGGGCAGTTTTCTGCTCCCCAGCGCTCATGCGCTGTCTACTTGGGGGCAGTTCATGGATACAGTGATGATGTCGGTTGCAGGTAATACAGTTTTCTGCTCCTTCGCTCCATACTCTCCCCGCCTCCTCCTTTCGCGGATCCTCGGGTGGGGGTGTGATGATCACGCGCGCGCCGTCCCTGCACTCCTTGGTTCCTTCCGCGTCTTCTCCTCCGCGTCTGCGTGCGGTTGTGCACGGCCATGCGGCGGGTGGTGGTTCTTCGGGTGCCCTTGCGCGACCCCATCCTCCGCGCTCCCCCTCTCTTCTTACCTTGGCTGCCTCCCCTCACTCCTGCGAACCTCCGCGTGCTGCCATCAAATCCCAGCAGTTGCAGCATCCGAGTGAAACGGTTGCAAGACCATTCAAAAGATGCAGGTTCAAGCAAAGCAGTTGTGACTCAAGGATTGAAGACATGAAGTTTCTTGCACCCTCTGAGAACGATAAAGCTTCGGTTTTATCTTTAACCTCAGAAACTCACCTCAATTTGACAGACAACCTGACCAAGGACCGGTCGGGTACTAAGGACAAAGGCGCAGTCAAAAATGACAACACAGAATGCGACTTTCGCCCTGACACTGCTCCATATCCTCGACGCCTCAAGCGGCTGGATGCTAAGACGCTTGCCAAACCGCAAGGACCTCAGGTATGGGTTTGTCCGCTGCCTGACTGCCGGCATGAAATCAGAATTCCTGCAGGTTTGCAAGCGAGAGCCAAGCTTCAAGCTGCAAAAAGTTCACACCTGAAAAATAGACATACAGATTCCGAAAGAGCTGAATGCCCGCGACTCGGTGCTCAAACTCAGATCACAGTCCCGACCTCGGAACTTCCTGAAAGTGGCAGAGCCTGGAGTTGCCCAGAATGCGGGAAAGGACTCCCACTGTTGCCAAAAGTTTGGCACGAAGCTAGTGTCCGCAAACATTTTGCCGAGGCACACCCTGACACAAATCCAACTCAGGCGTACAGGAAGAAACAAAGAACTGACAAAGGCCTTCGAGCTCGTATGAAACTGCGAGGCAGACATATAGGTCAGCTCAAACAACAGAAGGTCGCTGACAACCTGAAAGTTTGGGCTCCGCAAACGGGGCATGATGTTCGCCAAATTCTTCTCAAACATAACCCCAAAGAAGAGAGACGCAAACTTGATTTGACGTCCGTGCTTGTTTGTGCCAAATGCAGACGAAAAGGGACACCATGTAGATTCAAAACCACCGCATGCACTGATGAAACTCAACCTATCCCGACTCAATTGCTGGGTTGGATCCGAAACATGGCTTTGCGACACCCTGCGAACCAAGGTGCCATCAGAAACGGACTTGGTATGACTGAAGCCGAGGTTGCAAATGCAAACTTCCAAACCAAAAAAAGAGTCAACGGTAAAGGGCCAGCCAAGTGGCTTAGCGGTCCGTTTGCCACCACTTTTCAGGCGGCGCAAGCTGCAGGGCACTTAGTTACTGAGGTCCTTCCGCCGGATGCCATGCGCCACCCGGACTCCACTGCTAAAAAGTTTCCCAAGGGATACCTGACCTGTAAAATTTGCCACAAGGTTAATCCACTTGGTGCTGTCAAAATCTGGACGAATCCATGCCTGGGACATGATCCCACCTCCAAAGGTTTCCAGTCTCAGAAAAGATATTGGCAGTCTTTAACTAAAACCCAAAAAAAAGCCCTCAGTCAAGCATGGGGGAAGACTCTGCAGCAGGGGGAGGAGCTTTTTGCCTCCCAATCCTCCAACAAGCGCAGCCGTAGAGCCAAAGAACATGACCATAATGATAAGGTTGCTGTGAGAATTGGTGAAGCGTCCCATCCAGGACCAAGATCACGAAAATTGCGCAACTTGGATCAACATGTGTCAGTTTGGACATGCAACACTCAAGGACCCAAACAATCGTGGACCTTACAACAGCTGCTCCAAACCCAGGAGCAGGCACCTCAGATTGTGCTGCTTCAGGAATGCTCTTTTAGCCAGGCTGAATGGACCACATTTCAAAAAACTTGTTGGTCTGTGGGGTACAGAAGTTTTTTCTCCGGTGCGCAAAGCACCGTCAATCGACACTACGGAGGAGCTGCAGTCTTGGTTAAATCTTCACTACCTTGTAGACCGGCCTGGTCACACACTCACAAAGGAGGTAGTGCCCAAGCTGTGTGGGTGGGATCAACTCTGGTCATCTCCACTTACCTGGCTCCTAACAGTGATGCAGAAACCGTGAGTGCAGCTGTGGCTCAAACTGTCCACTCTCTCGCTCCAAGACATCGTTTTATTTTGGGGGGGGATTACAATGCCACACCCGAAGAGAATCCCTTTCTTCATTTCTTGATTCCTAGGGAATTTCGTATTCATGCCACTCAAACCCCAACGCGGTGGCAAGGAAACCGCGATATTGACTACTATATCAGTAACCTTGAGCCCACTGAGGTCGAAACGCTTCCTGATGTTGTAGCCGACCACAAAATTGTCAAAACTTTTTTCGATTTATCTACCGAACCTGTTTTAGGTTTCCAACAAGCCAACATTCCTAGAATCCTCCCGAAGGACCCGGAAGTTGCTGAACGAATCCAAATCAAATTGGCTCAGCTCTGGCCGCAGTTTTCCACACAACTTCCAGAGCGATGGTCAGTCAATGTTGACCAGGACTGGCAGATGCTTTCGCAAACTTTTTTTCAAGCCCTAGTTTGTGCAGTCAGGGCTGCTGCCCCTGACATGCTGCAGCGAGTGTCTCCGGCCTTACTGAGGAAAGGAAAGGCCACTGAGGTCTCTCTTAAACAGAAAGAACACATGAAACGACATCCTGCTGGAGCTATGGCTACTCACCGCCAAAGAGTTCTGCGCAGATTGATTGGAAGGTTGCGGGAAGCCCAGCGAAACTTGGATCAAGACAGGCAAAATATCACTGAAAGCCGAGTTCTCTGGAATAAAATCAGACGGTGTTCTATGTACAACCATGATTGGGGTATACAAAGAAACCTTCGGCATCTTGAAACGCTTTTGGAACGGTTCAATCATGAAGATGACTACACCAGACTTCAACGATGGAGAAACAACATGGAACATGACAAGGCTGCATACAGGTGGCTGCGACATAGATCTGTTCCCATGTGCAATGCGGTTAAGAAAACCAAAGACTCTGTTCCTAGTCACTCCACCCAAGACAGCCTGAGGATTCTCAGGGAATTTTGGGCCGATATTTGGAATAGACGTCAAATCTCTTGGGATGATATTTGGGATGATTTGGTTACTCACACTCCACCACGCCCTGCTCCTGACAGCTGGCCAAGCCTCACACCGGAACAACTCCGTTCTGCCACCAAGTGTAGCCGCGGCAGTGCGCCGGGGCTTGACGGCTGGAGAGCTGAGGAACTTAGTTTGTTCAGTGACGAAATGTGGCAGGTCATGTCCGGGTTCTATGATCATTGTGAAGAGCTCGGAAACATTCCTACCATATGGCGATGTGTTCGCCAAGTGCATATCCCGAAAGGGAAACCACCTGAAGCTGACGGCAGCATGCTGGCGGACAACATGCGTCCCATAGCTGTGATGTCGATAATCTGGCGAATCTGCAGCCGAGCCAGATTCAAACAAACTGAGGTTCAGGAATGGATCCACACATCCACCCCCGAATTCATGTTTGGGGGAATTCCCCAAAAAGGTGTTGAGGATGCTATCTCTCACATAATCCTCAAAGACATGCATAGCTGGCCGGTTGGTACACTTGACCTGACAAAAGCTTTCGATTATTCTGACCCTGAGATAATCTGCAAACTCTTTGTCCACCAAGGTATGCCGCGCAAAGCTGCACGCATGTTGTTAAGCATGTGGAGCGAACAAATCCGTTTTCTTCAGCTCCATGACGAATTTTTCCCAAACAACCATGTTGTCAAGCGCTCCCTGCCGCAAGGTGACTGCTTTAGCATGTTAGGCATGTGTGTTTTGCTTACTCCCATTGCCAATCACATTCAGAGAAAATACCCTTGTTGCGTTCAAGCTTTATATGCCGATGATCGTTCTTTCACTTGTTCCACTGCGACTGAAATATGGCAAGTTCGAAATGAATGGCATGTTTGGAGCAATAAGGTTGGTCTTCAAGAAAACCCCACCAAAGAGCAATATTACCACCGCAACGTTCAAGGTTGCCGATCTCTCGAGGATGCCGGCTGTCCTCCAGAAACAGTTTCCACTTCCATCACCTTGTTGGGATTCCAGTTCATGGGAGTGACCCAAAGAAAAGCCAAAGACCGAGAACTGACAAGACTCACTGAGGCCAAAGAAGTTCTTCGAAAATGTAGGTGCCTCCCAGGTTCCAAAACACGTAAAGCTGCAGTTGCCAGGGTTTGTGCCCCAGCAAAAGCAAGTTGGGGATGGCTGTTTCGAAGACCCACTCATGCTGAAAGCAACGCTTTCTTTCAGGGAGCAAAAGCGCTGCATCAGTGGCCAAAGCAGTCAGCCGTACCTTTACTCCAAATTTTTACTGGCCATTGGTGGGACTTAGGTTTTGCTGCCACGGTTACGACTCTCCGAGTCCTCACCCGCTATGTTCACAAAACACAGATGCAGTTGCAAAACTGGCCACCCAAAATGAGTGGCTGGACGGGTAGCTTTAGAAAAGGCATGCAAGAACTTGGGTTCGCTGAGGCTGGTAGTTGGACCTGGACGCACCCGATGCTTGAAACTATTCAGATTCAACCAACCACGCTGCCTGAAAAGGCGACCGAAGTGCTGTCACATAGGCTCAGAGATGCTTGGCGAATCAGAAAATATGAGGAATTCTTGGAACTTGACCGACGCGACTCAACGGTTTGTGCAGACATTCCATGTGACCTGACCCGCATTAATATTCTGCGCAAGAAAAAACTCAACAGTCACGAACTGGCTGTTGTAACTGGTGCTTTCATTTCACCTCAATGTCGAAATGCCATGGGAGGTGCTGAAGAAACATGCCCTTATTGCCAACATGTTTGTGCCACTGTGCAGCACATGCTTTGGGAATGTACTCAGAACCCACACCGTGATCCTACTATTAGACCCCACGATGTGCTGCAGGAAAGACTCGCATGGCCCACTACTGATCCTACTAAGGTGGACCATGACAACAAACTTCTAAGGTTTGCAGCTGCAACACGTGCTGATGTGTTGCAGCAGCGCCACGACGACTAGAACCACCTCCATTCTATTCTGGCGATCGCCTCTGGCCTGCGCTGCGGCTGCGGGCAAGTGCGGGCAGCGTCATTGTCTACATCATCATCGTCGGTTGCAGGTAACTGGAGTTTTTTGTAACACAGCCATTGCAGCTTGGTTGCATTGGGATTATGGGCTGAAGGGGAAAAATTGCTCAGTGACATAACACAAGCCCAAGTTTACAACTACATATTATACATATATATATATATACATATACATATATATATATATATATATATATTTATATTTATTTATTTATTTATTCTTTTTTATTTATTCATTTACATATATTATATATGTATGTTTTCAATTGTTTTCACGTTTTCTTAGGTAAGACTTAGGAACGTGATGTTCGGGATTCATCGTTTCCAAAGAAATTAAGTGTTGAATTCAAAGACTTCCAATCAGATTATATAATCAGGACCTCCTTTGTGATGCCACCGCTTTAACTGCCAGGAAAGTGCTCATGCTGATCGCGACATTGCCATCATGAAACAGTTGGTCAAGAAGAGAAACCAGGCGCAACAGTGACTGCAACACCCCCCCTGACTGATAGTTGCGTGCTGCTGTCCATCCTATTCAAGGAATGATACACCTATTGTAAATTTACATTTTTTGTATTTGTTATAACTATTCTGTCAGACGCACTATGTTTTTCAAAGGGTTCTGTCAATTTGCCCCGGGGTGACAGCTTGGAGGTGAGTGCTCTGAAGGAAATTTTCCAAGAGATCGACCAAAACAAAGCTGAAGTCGCCTCTCAGCTCGCAAGTGCGACATTTGAGATTCTCAAAATTTTGGTTTTGTCCGGAAATGAAAGGTAAAGAGATACCCCAAAAGAAATTAGAACGGGAAACGCGTGAGAAATTTTTGGATTCGGGATGTGCCCTATTATTGGACATCCATGTTTGCCAAAAATGCGAACTTAATCCTGTGACTCTGACTCAACACGCTCTACTACCCATTCGGTCGTCGGATTTAAAGTTGAGTTTTTGGTGCCCAAATCTTTTCCAAAACCGGTAAGCCTCCCAAATTCTGGCATGTGCTATATGTTTCTCTATCAGGGTGTGGGTCCCTCTCCCTGGCGGTTGGATTGTGGCGCGGAACGCGCAAGCTGTTGCGTTTTTGGCATGAGTTTCACCTACTCCTTTTGTAGCATGAGATGGAAAGCTCCCAAAGAATGTACACAGTGAATTTCCGAACCTATGTTGATATGTTGGCGGGCAATATTCTACTGCTACTCATGTAACCTAGCGCAAACCACTTGATGTTGCGTTTGATTCTTCAGTGTCATATACTTCAACACCCAAGTCAGGCACACCGAACATGGGTAATTAAAGGAACATCGCAACACGGTTGTGTGCTCATGCGGGCGCACTGGTTTTGACCCCTTGCTTCGTTCAAGTCATAGTAATAATGACAAATATTATATATATATATACATAGAAAACATTTATAGTGACGGACTGAAACTTAGAACCAGACTTTGGAAATTTGCCATACCCCGAAAAAAGTACCCGTTTTATCCGCTCAGATTTGGGTAAAATTGATTGTAAAAAATATGATATTTTCACGTTTTGCGAAACTGTTCGCCGTAATCAGGACTTAGAACCACTACCAAAAATGGTTCTCGGAGAGCCAAAAATGACTACCCCCTCGCAGTTTTTTACCCGAAAAGTACCCGTAAAACGTGTTGCTTGATGGATTGAACGAAAGATTCTACCTAAAATCATCATAAATGGGTGGTACATGTCACTGTATCAAGCATCCCCAAATGATAGGTTTATTCTTGGGTTTGCCATGGTTTGCCACATGAATGTGCTTGTTTGCCACATATGCTTGTTCACATGAAATCCGATTGGTGGTTGAATCCCATTATAATTTTGGGGATCTGCTTGGAATTATATAGTAAATGAGTCTATGTATATATATATATATGTGTGTGTATATATGTAAGGTGCATTTGGAAATATAGAAACTTAGAACCATTGGCATATACCAGAATAAAGGGTAAGATATGGAAATGTAAAGGTGCCCCTAAAAACAATGTCTTCTTTGAAAAGGGTTTGCGTAGACATGCATATATATATATATAAAATATATATATATATACACATATATCCCTTGTCTAACAGGAATCGGGAGCTGAAATAGAACACAAAACAAATGTAATGTTTGGTGGGAAAACATTGCATTGCGTGCATCCACTGGTGTTTTAGGAGCTAAATGAAATCCCATTGGCACTTGAGCTACCCATAAAATGTGGGGAAATGGTTAGAAATAATTGACACATATACATAAATATATATATATATACACATGTTTTTCCCAACTCCTGGAATCCAAAAAACGGAAAAATTGACTAGTTTTGGTGTTGACATGTTTTTTCTCAACTCCTGGAATCCAAAAAAATGGGCAAGATTGGCTAGTTTTGGTGTTGATGGAATGAAACTTAGAACCACTAGCCTCCAAATATAGCAACATCATGTAATATACATATGTTCTTTTTACATATTATATATATACATGTTTTTCCTCAACTCCTGAAATCCAAAAAATGGGGAAAATTGACTAGTTTTGATGTTGACATGTTTTTTCCTCAACTCCTGGAATCCAAAAATGGGGAAACTTGACTAGGTTTGGTGTTGAAATGTTTTTTCTCAAACTCCTGGAATCCAAAACATGGGGAAAATTGACTAGTTTTGGTGTTGACATGTTTTTTCTCAACTCCTGGAATCCAAAAAATTGGGAAAATTGACTAGTTTTGGTGCTGACGGACTGAAATTTGGAACCACTACCCTCCAAATATAGCAAAATCATGTAATATACAGATGTACATATACATATATATACACATGTTTTTGCTCAACTCCTGGACTTCAAAAAATGTGGAAAATTGGTGAAAATTGACTAGTTTTGGTGTTGACATGTTTGTTCTCAACTCCTGGAATCCAAAAAATTGGGAAAATTGACTAGTTTTGGTGTTGACATTTTTTCTCAACTCCTGAAATCCAAAAAACGGGGAAAATTGATTAGTTTTGGTGTTGACATGTTCTATTCCCAACTCCTGAACTCCAAAAAATGGGCAAGATTGGCTAGTTTTGGCGTTGACGGAATGAAACTTAGAACCACTACCCTCCAAATATAGCAAAATCATGTAATATACATATGTACATATATACATATTATATATATACACATGTTTTTCCAAAACTCCTGGAATCCAAAAAATGCGGAAAATTATATATTAGCTTTGGTGTTGACATGTTTTTTCCTCAACTCCTGGAATCCAAAAAATGGGGAAAATTGACTAGTTTTGATGTTGACATGTTTTTTCCTCAACTCCTGGAATCCAAAACATGGGGAAAATTGACTAGTTTTGGTGTTGAAATGTTTTTTCTCAAACTCCTGGAATCCAAAACATCGGAAAAATTGACTAGTTTTGGTGTTGACATGTTTTTTCTCAACTCCTGGAATCCAAAAAATTGGCAAGATTGGCTAGTTTTGGTGTTGATGGAATGAAACTTAGAACCACTAGCCTCCAAATATAGCAAAATCATGTAATATACATATGTTCTTTTTACATATTATATATATACATGTTTTTCCTCAACTCCTGAAATCCAAAAAATGGGGAAAATTGACTAGTTTTGATGTTGACATGTTTTTTCCTCAACTCCTGGAATCCAAAAATGGGGAAACTTGACTAGGTTTGGTGTTGAAATGTTTTTTCTCAAACTCCTGGAATCCAAAACATGGGGAAAATTGACTAGTTTTGGTGTTGACATGTTTTTTCTCAACTCCTGGAATCCAAAAAATTGGGAAAATTGACTAGTTTTGGTGCTGACGGACTGAAATTTGGAACCACTACCCTCCAAATATAGCAAAATCATGTAATATACAGATGTACATATACATATATATACACATGTTTTTGCTCAACTCCTGGACTTCAAAAAATGTGGAAAATTGGTGAAAATTGACTAGTTTTGGTGTTGACATGTTTGTTCTCAACTCCTGGAATCCAAAAAATTGGGAAAATTGACTAGTTTTGGTGTTGACATTTTTTCTCAACTCCTGAAATCCAAAAAACGGGGAAAATTGATTAGTTTTGGTGTTGACATGTTCTATTCCCAACTCCTGAACTCCAAAAAATGGGCAAGATTGGCTAGTTTTGGCGTTGACGGAATGAAACTTAGAACCACTACCCTCCAAATATAGCAAAATCATGTAATATACATATGTACATATATACATATTATATATATACACATGTTTTTCCAAAACTCCTGGAATCCAAAAAATGCGGAAAATTATATATTAGCTTTGGTGTTGACATGTTTTTTCCTCAACTCCTGGAATCCAAAAAATGGGGAAAATTGACTAGTTTTGATGTTGACATGTTTTTTCCTCAACTCCTGGAATCCAAAACATGGGGAAAATTGACTAGTTTTGGTGTTGACATGTTTTTTCTCAACTCCTGGAATCCAAAAAATTGGGAAAATTGACTAGTTTTGGTGTTGACATGTTTTTTCTCAACTCCTGGAATCCAAAAAATTGGGAAAATTGACTAGTTTTGGTGTTGACATGTTTTTTTCTCAACTCTTGGAGTCCAAAAAATGGTGAAAATTGACTAGTTTTGGCGTTGACGGACTGAAACTTAGAACCACTCTTCCCAAATATAGCAAAATCATGAAAAGTCTTTCTCAGTTGCTCCCGAACCCCCCTGAAATGGGTCAGGTTCTTTCTTCTGGGTAAAAAAAATTGGAAAACTGCGAGGCATTCTAAGTTTCAGTCCGTCACTATTTACATAGATACATGCAAAAACAGTTATGTAATGGAATGTAATGTAATGGAAAGTAATGGAATGTAACGGAATGCAATGGAATGTAATGTACTATAAATATTGTAATGTAACGTAACGTAATGTAATGTAATGTATGTAATGCAGTGTGATGCAATACATGTAATGTAACGTG